CTATTTTTAACCAAAAAAAGCTCTCTGCACAACATATTACTGTTTTAAAAAAAAAAAGTCAAAAATATTCAGCATTTTTTTAGCAGAGCACCTTCATAACTCCTTCTCTAAAAAAGTATAAATTTTTTTGGTCTAAACCTGTCTTAATCGCAAACACTAGAATGATTCTAGAAAGCCTAATAGTTTTAAAATTTGAATTCAAAATTAGCTATTTCTTATTTGCAAAAAAAAAGAAACAGTTATTTGAAATCCAAAAAGAAAAGTTGATTGATTTAAAAACGATAACTGTTTGGAATCTTAACAGTAAGGTTTATTTTCTCAAACTTATTCTTCAGTCTCTTTCCTTTTTTTTTTGCTTTAAAAATTAGGCTCTCCTAATTAGCAAAATTATAAAAAAAGATAAAAAAAAGTTTTTCTGAATATTGGCCAAAAGAAAAAAAACCCAATATGCTATTGCAGTAATTTCAATATATTTTCTTCAGCCGATCAAATCATGTTCTGCCGCCTACAAATTCTACTAATATTACTGGCAACTGTGTATGTATATGGATGGTATGATCGTTGTGGTAAGTTCGGTAAGCATAGACCAGAATGTAGGAAATATCGTCAGTCATATTTATACAGAGATCAGTATTGGTCAACAGATGAAGAGTTAAGCGATTATGATGAAGAAAGTGAACGAACATCACTTTTACGGCTATTAAGACTGGCTAAAAGCAGTTAGTTTGAGATGACTTTTTAACTGTCCTCTCCTTCTGCTTCTTCCTCTTCTTTCCACGATTAAAACTTTCAAACTAATTATTTTTGGAAACTTAAAACCGGGAATCGTTAGCTGCAAAAAAAAAATTTGCCGTTAATTGTCAACTAATATTTGACTGTTTCTATTCAACAGTTCCTTCTTACTGTTTATGCGATAATCAGTATTAACTGGAAAAGGGTTTATTTGGTAAATCAACTGTGTGGAAAACTTGCAAGAAGTTCTCTAACTGTACAGAAAACAAATCAAGTCATCTTGTTAAAACATTTATTCAGAACACTACCAAAATGTACTTTTATCGAAGCATCCTTGTAAATGTTGTACATACACCCAATATAGTTATTCGGGTAGTCAACTTTAGCTAAATGAATAAGAATGACAAATCTATGTTCAAAAATATCTACTGGTAACTGCAAATAAAACAGACTGTTTATATAATATATTGAACATAATTGTGCGGCAGTAACGACTGATATTTGATTAAATTGATAAGCCATTTCTTGCACCATTTCCTTATGTGACTGTAACTGTTAATCAGCTATCAACTGTATCTGTAACAAAGACTTAGAGCTCTAACTTTTGTTCCAATCTTCTGAGTATTTTCAAAAATTGTAAAAAAAAAAAAACTTTTTTTCTTTCAAAAGAGTCACAAAAAGAAAAAATGCATACTTCAGATGAAACAGCAACTACAATTGTAAGGCAACTGTTGAAGAAATATACGCCAAGTAAGTTTTGCCATTATTTTAGAAATTATTACAAACTGTACAATTCAATAGCATTATCAAAATATTTCTAAAAATGTTTTGAAAGTACCATTTATAAAACGAAAATACGTGAACATTCACGCTGAGGCTGTTATTTGTACTAGAAGAAACTGTAAAAAAACAAAAAAAAAAAGAAACGCTTACCTGAAAGTAATGTCTGAAAAAGCAGTCAAAAAAACCTAAAGTTAGGAACAGAGTATTAGAACTAAATTGAGCTTCTTCGTCCAAATCCTTTTCAAGAGTTTCTTTATATATTGATGAGAAGCAAAAAGCCATATCCTGAGCATTATTTTGTTCAGCTTTATCAAATTAAAATGTTCCAGTTTAGTAAACCAAAGTAATGTGTTTATTAAATAGATCAAGTTATATAATAAATGTTGATATTACAGAAACATGCGCTCCATATCGATACCATCTATGTGTTGAAAATGATTTATGTCCATCTGGCAAAGTAAGACTTCTACTAAATAATCTAAAAATTAGTTAAAGATGTAAAAAGAATTTATCCATGTTATCCTTTATTTTTAAAAAACTAACCAACTATTTTCGGTCACTAAAATTAGTAGTAGTTTCAGCGCTTTAAATATGGTTCTTTAACTATCGGTATAATACAGATTCCGGCTGCTCAAATAAATTTAATAAAGATGACAACAAAAAAAAAGCATTTTTGTCGATTGATATACCCAACAGCTGCAGAAATGACTATTACTGCTACAGCTGTTATTGTCATTTTTGATCGTTCTTTTTACTAGGCTACTAGGTACCCTACTAAAATAAACACTAACATTGATAAACTACAACCTAGTGAATAGATTTAGGCAGATTTAGACGATCAAAAAACGATGCGCAATTTTACGACCTACTAACTCACCTTCCCCCTGCCCTACCCTCATAATTTAGTTATTTTGAACTGTTCCTCTTAACACTATTCTGTAATTTATCAGATGTCGTTAAATGCTAGAAATAGCGGTTGTCGTCATTCTGAACTTTCCAAAAAAGAAACGATAAGGAAAATAAAAGTACAAGTATCAGCAGAGGCAAATTTAAAAGCAATTTTGTTTTTTAGAGGAAAAAATAACACGTGAAGAATTTGAAAAACTGATTACTTGCTTAGATGTCAGAGACTTTAAAGCTTTATATTGCCTGTCAAACAAGTAGAAAAAAACATAGAAAAAAAATAAAACAGCTTAACTTCTTGAAGTATCATTTATTAAAAGCAGCATACTGTTTCTAGTTTCGT